ACATGTGGCCATGACGCATCACACTGATACTGTTGTGGAGGGAGCAGCTCCTTTCAGAGCTCTTTCAGAGTTTCTCCAACCAATCGACTGAGTTTTCATTCAATGAGGCTCCCGAAGGAGGTGCTGAAGCTGCGATTCCAGCGACGACCGAGACGGCTGACAAATCTGATGACAGATAGATAGAAAAGGAGCGATGCACTTGCTCCTTAGCTCCTAGTAGCTTCTTGTTACTACTAGTAAGGCACTTGTTACTACTAGCGATGCACTTGTTACTAGTAGCTTCTTGTTACTACTGGTAATGCCCTTGTGACTAGTAGCGATGCACTTGTTCCTATAGATGGTAAAGAGACGGCGGCCTTCGAAGAGCGGGGTGCAGTCGTGCCCACTTCGAAGAGCGGGTGCACTCGTGTCACTGACCGAAGACGGAAGGAGAGCGTTTCTGGAAGGAGATTTCTCTACGTGTTTTGAGGTTGCGGATATAGTAACAAGTGCATCGCTACTACCAAGAACAAGGGCTACTAAGGACCATTTGCCTTTTTTAGCCACTAGACAAGGACGCCGCACCTTCTTGGCTAGTAGGGAGGCTGAAAGAGCCCTACAGAACAGGCATGGAACTCAGTGACTTTGTGTGCTCAAGTGTTTGGTGGATGCATGTGGACTGGGTGATGCTGCTTTAGACTGAGGTCCTAAATGTAGCAGCCAAGAATTTGGGCCGAAGAGAACTGGCTCAAAAATGTGATGGCGAGGCAGATTCGGGAGCGACTCAGATGCTTTGGCTTTGGTTTTACATTCTGGTTGGGTCTCCCGCAGAAGAAAGGTGCTTGAAGAAAAACACAAAAGGACTTAAACGGGTCAAGCGCATTACTTTGAGCAGATCTTCATGACGCTCCACGGCACTTCTAGGTGAATTTCTTCTGCTGACTCTGGCGGCAGCGAGGTGCCATGTGTTTACTGCTGTTTCACTACCAACGGAATAATAGCAATGGCTTCCAACCTAATAGCGATGGCCTCCCCCCTAATAGCGATGGCCTCCAACCCAATAGCGATGGCCTCCGCAATATTCCGTATGTCTTCTTATTGACCACCGACCACATGTTTTTGCTGCTGTTGTTCAGGAAGGTCACTGACACCCATCGTGTGCTGGCCAGTGCTCCGCTCAAGAAGTTTATTTTTCACTTGCAATTGGCAACTGGCGGCTAATTACGATTCACTGCAAACATGAACGTTGCATCAGGTGGATGGTTCACGAGACTTCCATTGTCACACAAGACTTGCTTGTTCAAAGATAAACCTTGCAATTTGCGGTTCAAAATCCCTGAGGCTCCAGACTGGATGCATCGCAGGAAGTGAAAGCCGTGATGCAGAAGCTGAAAGATTTGTTGTGTAGTATTCAGTGTTCATGTTTTTTTTCAAAGTCAATAATGCAATGATTCAATCATTGTAACTGCCAATTGTCATTTTGTTAGATGGTTCGGTCGCTTCGGCCAAGACTGACTCTTGAAAGATGGTAAGTCGGCGATCGGTGCAGGATGCTGGGTTGACGCCTGATGACTGCAAGAAATTCACTGAGGCAGCCATGGGATGATCTTGGAGACAATTGCGCAGTTCCCTTTTGTTTTTGTTTTGGTGGTATAGGTGGCTAGTAGTAACAAGTGCCTTACTAGTAGTAACAAGAAGCTATTAGAAACAAGAATTAATTAGAGTTGAGTTAAGGTAAGATGGCGAACGGGGCAGCAAACCTTTTTACCGTGAAACATGGCGAACTTTGGAGGCCGAGATTCCACCGTTTTCGTCGGAGGCTTTCGTGCTGGAGCTTGATTCTCTTTGTACCTTTGAGAACTTGACGAACGGCTGGGCCTGGGCCTCACCATCTATCAGTTTGATTATGTTAACGTTGTATTTAAAAGAGAAGGACAAGAAAGAACAGGTCTAAAGGCTCTAAAGGCAGAAAGAATAGAATGAAAGCAGAACCAACAGGATGTTGTATCAGTTTGATCCGTTGACCTTGATGTTAAAAGCTTTCGACGTGTGACAACGACCGACAACCTTGACCGATCACGTTGGAGGCAGGTTGTGCGTGCGAATTGCCACGACCGCCACCCATTAGGCGCCGACCAACAAGACGAAAGACAAGACAATTAAGAGCGTTCTTGCTAACTACTAGTAAGGCACCTGTTACTACTAGTAAGGCACTTGTTCCTAGTAGCTTCTTGCTCCTAGTAGTACGGACAGGAGCCCCTAGTAGCGAACATTAATTTACATGAAAGAATTATCGTCTAAGTCTGGTCTAAACAACGAAAAGATTGAAGAATACAAAGGGAATGGAAGGAAACGGACATAGACATGGTTGTGTAGGGCTCTTGGAAGCTTAGGCCAACGGTCTCCAAAAATAGACATCAAGCATCTTTGGCTCGGTTAGTCAAATTAGCCAGGCTAGCGACCCTAGCAACCTTACATTCGAGACTTGAAAAACAAAACATTAAAACAGCAGATTTGGAACAAGGACAGGAACTCTTTCTTGTAAGACATTTTTATCACCTCGCAAGGGTAAGAGACTAACGGCCAAGGCCCTAAGGCCCAGCCCTACCGACGTGTGAAGTAATTCAGTGGGGTCACTTAAGTTTAGGCTAGGATACTGCGTGCAGGCTGGCTGATGAGGGCACAGAAGCTGAGGAGACACCGTGCACATTGGTGCTCCACATAAATAGAGAGCCACATTGTAGCATGCGCACACGGATGCATCGGATGCACCCACAAATCAAGCTGCTTACTCGTGAAGTTGGGCCAAAACACATGGTGAGAAAATGCTTTGTTCTACTACTAGGTACTAGGGGGGTTAGCCGGCTATACAAAAAAAAACAACATCTTTTTCGTTACTCATAGCGATGCACTTGTTACTAGTAGCGATGCCCTTGTTACTAGTAGCTTCTAGCTAGCTTTGTATATGAGTCTTTAGATTGATATCCCTAAGTGGTCTGTCCCAACTGCATTGTGTGACTCGAATGTGCGGATGTTATAGGTGCTTGTGTATGTTATTTGTGTATGCAGGAGCCAAAGAACCTTGGGCCATGTGCTTAGCTGCAAATGCCGGGAAGTGTCTTGAACGATCGGAAGATGCCAGCAGCTTTGATTGGATCTTTGTGGACGACTAGAAGGGTTGTCCTTGGTCGGTCTCATTTCGGATCCCAAGGATGGAATGCCCCTTTGCCACTTGTGCAGGGCCAACGGCCACCCAGGAGGCCTGAAAGCATGAATCGTTTTGCGTGTTGACACTGGGGTGGAGGCCATGATGTGCCATGCGTGATTGAATGGAATCACTATAGGCCCTACAGGCCTGAGAGATGTCACACTCCCAAGGCTGCAAGAGTTCCATTCAGGTTTGACGATGATGTCGGTATCCCGGATCCAGCGTGACTATGCAACAAGGGGTTCTTGCGGTTAAGTGTAACGGCCAGGTTTGATTGGGGGTTCACACTCGTTCGCAGGCTTTTCGCATGGGCAGGATACAATACTGTTTCATGAATTCCTGGCTGCCTAACCAACCAACCCACAGCAGCCAAACAGATGAAAGATGAAAGCCTGCCAACGAAAGCTTTTACCTAACCTCTTATGTGTGAGTGGGTGGGAGGACAGGAAAATGCAAGAATGTGTGCAGATTAGGACAGACACACAGGAGTGAGATGGACGTGAGCTGCCTTTCCCAGGCAAGATCAACCCTCAGACCCTCAGAACACAGTCCGCCAGGAAATGATTAAGCGCGTTACTCTGCGTGAACTCTCACCCGCCGTAGCTTTTGCAGTTTGGCAGGCCTGCCTTCAGCTCTCCAACTTCGGTTTTAGCAAGGCGCCGCCGGAAATCGGCCGGGATTTGACACGACCATCCAACGATGGGTCCGTTTCAAGGTCACGCAGCTTGCATTTCGAGTTGGTTTGAACCGCTTTGGTTTTGATCTTAACGACGTTAAAACGAAGGCGGCTTTCAGGCGGTTTTGGGTGCTGAATTGAGCCTGGACATGCAAGCATGAGAGGGTGTTTTGCCAGCATGGATAGTTGTTAGCTCCGAGAAAACCTGGCAAACCTGGGGCAGCTCCATCATTCCAATACTGGAGCTGTACAAGCTTTTTTGCAGGATGCTACTACCTGCTACTACTAAAAAGCACGTATTTTCTTTAGAGCAACACATTCTTGAATCGGCTCGTTGAATGAACATGGATGGTGGAACTGCTGAAGTCGCATCGCCAGGTTGACATGTTGGATCTAGGTGCTGAGAGCACCTTTCGCGAGACTCTTGTTTGTAGTTGGCACGCTCAGCACACTCTTGGGAGAGGAGGAGTATGGATGAGTATCCACATGTATCGACTGTCACCTGTGCAAACAACAAGTCGTATACCATTTCTTCCGCAAAACATGTGCTTTTCGAGGTCGTTTCTATTTGAATCCTTTGATGTCGTTTCGGAGCAGTGGCCGGTGGGCTCCGGGGTGGAATGAGGCTATCTCATGGCGCCTGGCGGGTCCTTTTCGATGCCCCAGAAGGCTCGGCTCTCCCAGCGGGATCTCATCGGAATGAGCTCCGAACGCAACAAAGAGGGCATCGCGGCTCGAACGGGGCGATCGGACGCTAGGAACGTAGCTCCTGGCCTTACGACTAGGAACAAGAAGCTACTAGTAATGAATGCGGCTTGGTGCAAAGTGGTTTAAAGAAAAAGGGGACAAGACAAAGGTCAATGTGAGGAAAGCAGTATATATCACGCTCAAAAAACAGGGGGAAAGGACCAGACCATACCATGTTTGAAGCTATGTTGATGACCATCTAAGTGAAGCGAATCGTGTGACGTCGCAGCTTCCCAACATGGTTCCGCGAGGTCGAGTCGTTCCGAAGCGTCCTAAATTTCCAAAAGAAGGCGTGGAATTCTGTCCGTGGAAACGGATATGTGGAAGTGTGTATATCGTTCAAGTCTCTACTTTAAACAAAAACGGCTGGAACCAAAGAACTTACAGCATCCAGGCCGTCATGACATAGGAGCATTTCTTGCACTAGGCGCTGGGATATGAATGTGGTGGCAGTGATGGCCTTCAGCCCAGTGCCTTGGGTGAAGGAAAGCTTCGTCAGTGATATCTTCCCTTATGTGACTGCCAGGTAGTTAGAGCAAAGAGTCTCGGCTGAGTCTCTTCCACTCACCGGTCCT